GGCAAACACCCACTACAACACACTTTCACCTTTATATTGTTTTTTAATGTATTGTCTTATGCTGTCGGTGCTCCATTGTCTCCTTCTCCTTTCTATAAAGAGAGAGAGCTCATTCTTTTGTAAACACACAAATACAATAACAGACATTGTATATATCAATCTCTCATTTCAGTCTCTCTCTCTTTACCAATCTTTCATGGTATCAGAGCACAGTAATACAATTCTGGCATTCTTCAATTTTGGTGCTTAGTCCCGTACACAGTAGAACTACACCAAACAGCTCGGAATTTCCTTACGATTCCAACGGCACCAAGCCCGTCACCAAAAACGCTCCCACGCGCTCTCACGTGCCGCCCTTTTGCTCGGCACGTCTCTGCTTCCGTTGCCACGCTCACATGCGCCTTCACGCGCCTTCCACTCTGCCCTTTCGTGCGCCGCGCCTGCTACCGTGCACCCGCGTGCACCATTCGTCTACCGTGAGCCGGGCGTGTGCCGTTCCGCTATTGTGCACCCGTGTGCGCCATTCTGCTACTATACGCCGTACGCCCTCTCTGCTACCGTGCGCCGCTGACATCATTTTCCATCCTACTAACATCATCTCTACACAGCCCACCTTTCCTAGCTATTTTCGACCTTCCGGACTCACTGGTACACTCTGTTTTACCTAATTTTGCTCCTACAGGTCTAGTCCTATCAATTTAGCCCTACTCAACTATTATTATGGATCGTCATGATGCCTCCCATCCCATTTCCGTTATTTTGAATGGTTCCAACTATGTTCTATGGGCCCAAGCCATGTCTTCCTTCCTCAAAGGAAAAAAGCTCTGGCGAATTATCACCGGGGACATGACCCAACCGGTGAAAGACACTGCTGAAACCACTGTTTCTCCTACTACTCCTACATATGAAGATCGCCTTGAGGAATGGGACAGTAAGAATTACCAAATCATTACCTGGTTTCGAAATACTTCTGTTACCTCTATCAGTCTTCAGTTTGGTCGCTTTCAGCTTGACTCTGTCACTACTCCTGCAAAAGACATCTGGGATTTTTTGAAAGAACGATACCAGACTACTGGTCTTGCTCATCAATATCAACTTCAGAGCCAACTTCATCGGATGCGCCAAGAATCTAGTCAGTCCATCAATGACTTCCTTTCTCAAATGTGCTCCGTATAGGACCGGCTTGCTCTTTCCGAACCGACTTAGCCTCACCGAGAAGATGCTGTTTTATTTACTGCCTATCGAAATCAGCAAAGGTTGCTGCACTTTCTCATGGCTCTCACTTCATCTTTTGAGCCCGTACGTGCCTCTCTTCTTCATCGCCATCCCTTGCCCACTCTGGAACAAGCTATTTTTGAGTTGCTATCAGAGGAAACTCGTCTTGGTACTCTCAAAACTCATCATGTAGACTCTGTTCTTGCCACTCCTCCGTACTGGCCATCATTCACCCAGCGGACTACTGCCTGCCTTTACTGTCAGAATCGGGGCCTTCCTTCAACACATCTCCTAGTTAATTGCCCCGTCAGAACCTGCCGATACTGCAACAAACTTAGTCCTGGTCATCTGCAACAGGATTGTTTTCACAATCCATCCTGCTCATCCTCCAACAACCACTCTTCTCGCTGTGGTTCTCCTCGGGGGAGCTTTCATCGTTCCGGGAATCAGTCTCATTCCAGGAATCAGTCTCATCACACTGCTGCTGCTGCCGCTGAGGGTTTTTCTGAGTCTCCTGCTCCGTCAACCCCTCTCTTTTCTCCAACGGATGTCGAGGCCATGTTCAAACACCTTCTCTCCCCTTCTGGTACACCTCCTCATACTGCTTTGTCTGTAATTCCAGGTAACTCTTCTTGGTATTTTGACTCTGCCTGTTGTAATCATATGACCTCCAGTTCAACTATATTTTCTTCCATCTCTTCATCTCCTCATATTCCCTCAATTCAAACTACTGATGGTTCTCTCATGACTGTCCGTCATATTGGTACTGTTTCCACATCTTCTTTATCTTTACCTCAAGTTTATCATATCCCTGCTCTCACCTTAAACCTTATCTCTATTGGTCAATTATGTGAACTTGGTCTAACTGTCACCTTTTCTGCTACTCATTGTTTGGTGCAGGACCCTCAGACGGGGCAGACTATTGGGATCGGCCGTAAGCATGGACGTCTCTATGAGCTCATTCACCTTCATGTTCCTGACTTCCCTCAGATCGCTGCTCCTGCATCTGTTTCCTCATTATCTCCTTTTCATCTTTGGCATTGTTGCTTAGGGCATATTTCTATTAATCGCTTAAAGTCTTTGGTTTCTAGTGGACAATTGGGTCATGTAATTCCAGATACTTTCGATTGTATACCCTGTCAACTTGTCAAACAACCTGATTTATCATTCAATAAAAGTACTTCTGTTTCCTGTGCACCTTTTGATCTTATACATTCGGATATTTGGGGCCCCTCCCCTACTACTACTATAGGGGGATCTCGTTATTTTGTTGTTTTTATTGATGATTTTTCCCGGTTTACTTGGATTTTTCTCATGAAAACTCGGTCTGAACTCAAAACTCTTTATTATCGATTTGCCCAAATGATCCATACCCAATTTTCCAAATCCATCAAACTTTTTCGCTCTGACAATGCTATGGAATATCGGGATTCCGATTTCCTTTCTTTTCTTCAGAGTCATGGTACACTGCCTCATCGTTCCTGTGCTGGCACGTCCCAGCAAAATGGCCGTGCTGAACGGAAACATAGGCATATTCTTGACACTACTCGCGCTCTCCTTCTTTCTTCTTCCTGCCCTGAAAACTTTTGGGGGGAAGCTGCCCTCACTGCTGTCTACACTATCAATTGTGCTCCTACCCCTGTCATCCATAATCAAACTCCCTTTGAACGTCTGCATGGCACTCCCCCTCCCTATACTAATCTTTGGGTTTTTGGCTCTGCCTTCTTTGTTCTCCTTCAATCTCATGAACACACCAAGCTTGAAACTCGTTCTCGTCTTTGTTGCTTTCTTGGGTATGGAATTGAATATAAAGGTTTTCGCTGTTGGGACCCTATCTCTAAACGTCTTCGTATCTCCCGCCATGTTGTTTTTTGGGAGCACCAAATGTTTTCCTCCCTATCCTCCTTTCACTTACCTGCACTTTCCACTAATGTACTGTTTACTAATCATTCCATAGATCTCTTATCTAATGATTCTGATACAGGTTCCTCCATCATTGAGATGCCCTTGCTCACTCCTGCTCCTGACCAGACTGCTCTCCCTGAAGGTCCACCTCTCCCTGCACCACCTTCTTTTCCACCGGTTCTTCCTCCCACCGATCCTCCTACGGGTCGACCACACCGGGTAACTCAACCTCCTATCCACCTTCGTGATTATATTGTTGGGTTTGCTGCCTTTTCTACTTATGAACCTACCTCCTATCGTGAGGCTTGTACTAATCCTCTTTGGCAGCAAGCTATGACTGATGAACTTCAAGCCTTGGACAAAACTCATACTTGGGATCTTGTTGATCTTCCTTCTGGCAAAACTGCAATTGGCTGCAAATGGGTTTACAAAATCAAGACTCATTCTGATGGCTCTATTGAACGTTACAAAGCTCGTCTTGTTGCCAAGGGTTTCAACCAGGAATATGGGATTGATTATGAGGAAACCTTCTCCCCTGTTGCTCGGCTTACCTCTGTTCGCAGTTTATTGGCTGTTGTTGCTGCTCGCCACTGGGAACTCTTTCAAATGGATGTCAAAAATGCTTTCCTCAATGGTAATCTTCTTGAGGAGGCCTACATGCAACCTCCACCTAGGTCTACTTTTCCCCCTCATAAGGTTTGCAAACTACAGCGTGCCCTCTATGGCTTCAAGCAAGCACCCCGCGCTTGGTTTGCTAAGTTCAGTTCTACCATTCATGACTTCGGGTTCACCTCTAGCTCCTATGACTCTGCTCTTTTTATACGGACTACTCCTCATGGTACCACTCTTCTCCTTCTGTATGTGGATGATATGATTATCACTGGTAATGATGCAGCTGGTATTCTCCACCTCAAACGTTTTCTCCACCGTCAGTTTGAGATGAAAGACCTTGGTACTCTTAACTACTTTTTAGGCCTTGAAGTCTCTCATGATTCTATTGGTTCTTATTTATCTCAGGCCAAATATGCATCCGATCTTCTGGCTCGTACTGGTCTTACTGATTGCAAAACTACATTTACTCCAGTTGATCCTCAGATTCGTCTTACTCCTCTCGATGGGGCTCTTCTCAATGATGCTACTCTTTATCGCCAGCTCGTCGGTAGTCTTGTCTATCTCACAGTGACTCGTCCTGACATTGTCTATGCTGTTCACATTGTTAGTCAGTACATGTCGGCTCCTCGCACTCCCCACTATACTGCTCTACTCCACATCCTTCGATACATCAAAGGCACCCTGTTCCATGGCCTTCACT